GAATATTCTCTGATTTCTGAATAACTAACTCTGGCAGATAACATGGGTGGAAAATCTTCAGGTGGCAGAGTAACTAACTCTGAGTGTAACTAATTCTGGGGCTCTGCCGCCTGGCTCCTCTGTCTTCTTGTGAATGGCTGATAGGTGGCGGCCTGCTCCACTCCCCTAGTGGGTTCTGGAGGGGGTGTTTGGGTCTCAACAGATATTTTCAAGCTTCACACCACTTAGCAGAACTGCTGCAGAATGAAGATCACCCCAGAAAGCTCCTTCTAAGCGTCCTCCACACATTACAGCTATAGCCTCTGCCACCTCTTGTTTCCACAGGTGAAAACATTGAACATCCTTTTTTTCCTATTCATTTTCTACTGGGTCTAAGAGAGCTTTACAATTATTGAATGGGGTTACTATAAACATTCTCTTCAGCTTCAATCTAACTGCCAGTAAATCAGCTACTCTCCTCCAATCATTGACCTGATCCTTGCTTTTATTACAAACTTACTGTCCCAATCTTTTCTCTCTGGACCAACCACCATTCTGCATTGGCCTTTGGTTTTCACCATGACCACTGGCTCTTGTTCTACACTGCTGTTGCTCTGATAAGCCGCCTCCTCCCTTGTGAAAGCTTCCTTTTCATTGAACATCCTTAAGCCTAAAAACTTATGGAGTAATCCGTTAACTTCCCCCCATCCTTGACTCTGTTTTCTGGCAGGAAAACAAACCTACCTTCTCCCCCTGCTCTGAGGTGTTCAGCCAAAGCTATGAAGTAGCCTTTGTTGTTCCTCTTACATTCAACCACATATCGCTTTCCTTCTACTGTACCAAGTTCCTGCCAGTTTATCTGCTTGCCTTTTGAGCAGGCTTCAGCTATGAAGTCCCTTAACCACTCGTCCACTTCCAATCCTTCCAACAGTATTGTGCCCTTTCTTTCTTCCCTTACCTTCAAACTTAGCTTCCCCTTGATTCGCATCTTTTTGAACAAAAAGTTTTTTGCTTCAACCTTCAATGATGAACTCTTTGCCAGTCATCTTCTCCTAGCCTCTCATAATTTTTTATGGTGGAAGTTGAGTCTTCATCCACCTGTTCTTACATTGCAAGTTCAGCACAGCAGTGTGGAGTCATTTTTTAAAGGCCCTAAACCTGAGTTGGTGTATGCCTGCTTCAGTAAAAGCTTTGTTGGAAGAATGGAAGATTTCTGGCACTTCCAAGAAATGGAAAGTTTGTTGGTCTTCTGTTCCTCTGTCTATAATCTGGGTTGTTGTGGAGTGAAAGGAACAGTAGAATTTTTGAGCGCGTTACTTCATCTGAAGCTGAAGTCATCAATCATGCTCTAGGTGTCATATGGAACTGGTTGTGTAATTCATGCTTTCAAAGATGATACTCTGGATGGTTCTTTTCTGACAGTGGGCTTTTTTGAGGTCCTCTTGGCTGTACAGGCTCTCTTTGTACAAAGGACCTTTTACTTGGTACTTATTTTTAATACACTTATACCTTACCTTCTTAAAAAAAAAATGAAATGTGCCACCAGAAGCACCAGAAGCTACATGGAACCAAGTATCTTTCCAGAAAAGTAATTGAGACAGTTACCACTTTACAAGGGATGCTGCTAATGAATGATAGATGTGTCTTTTCAATCTTGGGATTGGAGAAGGTTAAAGGAGGGATTTTACACCATTTGAAATATGGCCATGGTGTTGCCTTGTTATGGCCATGGTGTTGCCTGGTCAAGTATTTGAAATGGAGAAAATTTTCATTTTAGGGGGTCGAATTGGGAATCTACTCTGAGCAGAATGGAATGATGAAACAGGATTCATGTAGCCAACCCCATATAATTGGGGCAAGGATTAGATGATGATAATAAATAATGAATTGGGGATCTCCTCTGGGGTGGAGAAAGAATAAGATTGTGAGTTGCAAGGTGCCAACCAGCTGGTTAGTAAGGCCTCCTGCTGGTTGTAGCGGAGACTTGGGATCAAATCCCGCCTGCACCTGGATTGGGAGGGTTATAGCTTGTGGTAGCCCTTCGAAAGATATAAAAAAAAAAGGAGTAAGATTGCGAGTTTTTTGTCTATCTGTATCAGACATCTTTAAAGACATTTCTTCTGTTTCCATCCTTGGTATCTGAAATTGGGTATTTTATAATTACATATTAAGGGATGTATATAAAATTACACTTTTGAATTAATTTGGTTATATTTGGAGTTCCTTCAATCTTCCCTTTGTATTTTTCTTCTAACAGAATTTTATTACCTGATAAAAGAAAATTGACATTTAAGTACATGGCACCTAAAACATAACATACTTATATATACATGCAAACATGACATGCTGCAGATGTTAATCTTGTTGACTTGCATGAGATTATTAGATGACATTAATTCATTTCTCACAATTGAAATGGAATCATAGTAACAAGTTTCAAGTACAATCAATAATGATCAAAGAAAAAAAATTGGTTTCAAGTACAATCAAGTAGAAGCTGTAAAAATAACAAGATCTGGTGTTGTTAATACATTGGCATTTGTTTTGTTACATGTCGCATTGCAGAGTGGGATCCATGGGGTGTCCCTGAAGGCTTTGAATGTGAGGTTATCGAGAATGATGCTCCAATTCCTAAACATATCCCTCAGCATCGGCCTGGTCCACTTCCAGAGGAGTTCTACAAGACGTTGGAGGCAGTCACTTCTCGCCCCAAGCTTGAAAAAGCAACAGCCCCCTCCGAGGAGTTAAAGCCAAAGGAGTAACCAAGCACTTGATTTTTATGATCGGGTCCATCTGGAAGAACAAAAAATTTCAAAGTTGAATCCTTGCAGCCTTTCCTTCTTTTCTTATTGTTCTCTTACATTAGGTCTGTTTGGTGATTGTGCAAGAAAGATTCTTTGATAGAACCAAGCTTGAAACCTATTAAAGAATAAGGTCAAGACAAACTAGTTCAAAAGAGGAGCGTCATGTTACTTTCTTTTTGTTAGTTCATTTCTTTTCTGCTATTTACTCCATGGAAGTTTTAGTACAATAATCTTTTAATACAATCAGAGTAAGGAGTAATATTGAACTATCCTTAGATATATTTTGGACTACATTAATGAAATCATCCTGAGATATACTTTTAGGGGGCATTCTTTTTTTGGATTTTGAGAGGGGGAAAGTTGGTCAATGGGATTTTGGTTCCCATTGACCAAGAATCTCATGTTCTTTTTTCAGATTTATGTGGGGACCAGTGAAAGTTTATTTTCCTGTGTATCACTTACCCCCATCTCCTAGGTGGATAGATAACCTTTCCACCTATGGGGAAAGTTGCTAACACTTGAATGGGACAAAAATGCCCTTTTTAATAATAGATTTTTTATGGTTAAAATGGTCATTGCTTTATTTACATGAGAAATAAAAGAATATGAGTAAATGTATTTACCTGGATAAGTGTTTTCTAGGAAAAATTTACCTAGGTAACTGCATTTACCCGGGTAAGTAACTTATTGAAAAGTGAACAGGGCCTTAAGCTTTGGATGTTAATGTCAACAGGGAAGGAAAGATATTATATTTATCATCTTGTTTATTTTGTTTTTAGATCTCATTCACATTTTGGTTTACTCGGGTAAATGCACTTACCCAGGTGATTGTTTTCTAGGAAAGATTTATCCGGGTAAGTGCATTTACCCATATCTTTTATTTTCCATGTAAATAAGGTAATGATCATTTTATCCATAAAAATCCATTATTACAAGGGGCATTTTTGTTCTCTTCAAGTGTTGGCAACTTTCCCCCAAGGTGGGAAAGTTATTTATTCACCTAGGAGATGGGAACCAGTTATTTATGTGTATCTAGGGGAGGGTTATTAATGAGTATCTCAAATATTAATAAGCAATGTACAAATCGATATTGTAGATAAAATTTAAAAGCGTGAAGCTACAACCGTCAAGGCGTCAACCACTATCCAAGCCAACATAAGGCCGAGTTGCTATGCTACGATTTAATATAGTTTTTGAATTAAATTCAATCGGAAAAGTCTTGAGACACTCTACGCTTCTTGTGTCGAACCCCAACATTAAAGCCACTTGAGAGCAGATCTTTTCCTAGCCGAATAGCAAAACTGTTTCCATTTACCACTGCAACGATTGCTCGGTGTAATGGTAAAATCTTAGATTGGCGTGAGAACATGGGTTTGTAGGGATGTAACTTGGTCTGGCTCGGATTGAACTCTTGACAAAATGCTAACTGGGGCGGTTGGGCCAATTCGAGTTGCACCCCTATGGGTTCAAGTCTGAGAGCAGTCATTTTTAAGAAAGAAAAAAAAGTCAGTTTTTTTTGGCAAAAAAAAAACAAAGAAAAAAAGTCAGTTAAGAGGACACCCAGTTTATCCCTCCAAAGACCCTAGATAGCTGGGACTAGTATTGAAGATGTGAACTTATTTTATATAAATGAAATACGAAGAGACCTTACTTTTGTTTATTAAATAACTAGTAGGGCTCTGTGCATGCACGGGAAAATCATATAATTTAAAAAATGTTAAGGATTTTTCTTTTATGGTAGAGGTTAAAATATAGGGAATGCTTAAAAATTGTTTATCCATGAGGCTACACAATCGGGGGGATCATTCCCAAACTCATAAAGCCTTACCAACTGATGATGCGCGACCTGGTCGCTCCCTGCTGGAAGGTAGCTTGAATGTTAGTCTGCTATGTGGCCGGTCGAACTGCAAGAGAAAGGTATCAGAGGTCTTGGGATACTTTATCCGGTGGGGGCACTCCGATGCTTAAGTTAGTGAAGAGTGTTATAGTGAGCTAGTTTGCTTGTAAGTATGAAAGTATGAGAGCTAAATCGTGCGTATCTTACAAGGATGATGGTGGTCCCTTTATATAGGTGAGCTTCTGTGGGCCTCACGAAACACATCTGAGATCACTAGCTCGCGTAACTAGGAGTTCATTTCGCACTCAGAGATGGACTTCGTGTGAGCTGATAAGGTTTATCGAGTCCATCCAATCTGGGCGGGACAAGGATAAGGCTTGTTGACGTGCTACGTGATCCAGAGGATATCAGAGACAGTTGGCTCCCTTCTAGAAGAACACTACCTGGCACCTCGGTAGGTCGGGACATGAGAAGCTGCTCGGACCTCGGTCTTGGTCGAGGTACCTAAGGTGCCCAAGTTGACCTGACTTGCTGAGGTGTTCGTAAATGCTGAGATGTCATCTAATCAATAGGTCGCTCCATGTGTCCGCATGCTAACAAGCCGGGCCAAATCACTCCTTATAAATTGTCCCCCACTCTCGAGCTTGAGGTAGCCAACTTGGGGCGGGAGTTCACGACGAGTCTGGGTGAATTTGGTTTGGTCATTGACTTGGTCGAGGTCCAACCCATGGGTCTGACCTGAACGATCCAACTGGCTCAACCTTAGGGCAAGATCGCATCTAGGGAATGCACGGACGTCACGCGGACTATAAACTCCGTAGATGTCAAAAACGTGCTCAACCGAATTTGATCTTGAAATGCGAACGGATGCACCCTTGGGAGCTGTTGGATCTGATCGATCTAGACCATCCGTGGTTGGTTAAGGTGACTATAAATAGGGCCCTTGGGGACTCATTTTTCTTCGTCCCACTTTGAGCTCTTGTGCAATCAGAGGTCGCAGAGTGTGCATCGTCGGTGTAGTAAAATCGGTCATTGAGGTCGGTTGTTTCTCCTTCTCTTTGGTGAGTCATCTTCCTTTGCTCAGTTTTCCATTATTTTCCCTCCTTTAAGTATGTCAGGTAGTGGGTTTAGCGAAGATAGGGTTCAATCCAATACGACTGAGGAGGCTACCTCGGTCCGAGAACGGTGAGGTTCCTACAAACCTAGATGTCTGCGGAGGAGGCTACCTCGGCCTAGAGAACCGGACCACTTCGGTCCCACCTAGATGTCTGCGGAGGAGATTCGTGCCTTGGCCACTCAGTATAGGTTTCCCGACCACTATGGCTACTCAATTCCCATAGGTGGCTTTCCTTGGGAACATGACGACAATGAAATAGCTGTCTTTGCGGAGCACCTAAAGGTCGGGCTCCGCTTTCCACTTCACCCTTTCATACCTAAAGTACTAAAGTTCTACGACGTCACCATCGATTAGTTGTACTCGAACTTCGTTCGTACCTTGGTTAGTACGATCTCTCTCTTCTTTGACCTCGACCTCCCTCTCAATATTAAAACGTTCACCTTGGTCTGCCAAATCAAACAAAACCCTGCCAGCACCTCGAACAAATTTAGCTATTACATGTCCTATCGGCTTGGATACAAATTGCTCCACGAATTCCCTTCAAAGGTTCTAGCCTAGAAAAGTAGATGCTTCTTCATTGCTTGGTATGGGGGGTGGTCTTTCTCGACGCATTGGAGGAAAGGAATCAAGGATATCGGGGAAAACTTGAGTGAGGAAATGCAAGCCAGGATGTAGGACCTGGTAGAGCACAACCTGAAGTTGGAGGATTACTTAACCTGAAGCTAGGATGTATTACATGTCCTATCGTCACCTCTGGTGTGGGTACTTCAATTTTTGTTGCTTTATCTCACAATGACTTGGTTGACTTTTTGGTCTTCTTTTGCAGGCAACATGTTGGATTTTTCTGCTATGGGGTTACTCCCAGACATGAAGAAGAAGAAGAGGAAGAGGAAGGCGTCCCGTGGAGATGCATCTTGGGCGCTAGTTGCTGAACCCAAAGTCTCCACCACGATTGAGGAGGTTCCGGTCATCAAGTTGGTTGAGGAGGACCCGAAAAAAGAGCCAGAGCCGTCGCACGAGCCCGAGGTAGTCTGGTCACCCGAAGTGCACCCTCAGCATCCCAGGGGCAGTTTTGAGGAAGAAGTCCCCAAGGAGAGGCAGTCCATTATGGATATCCAGACGTGCCTTCACAAGAGCAAGGAGGCTGTCTTCCCCGAGGAGGTCTCCAACATGACCGAAATGTATCTTGCCGAGATAGATGCCAAAGTGATGTGCTGTGCCATGGTGGCAAGTCCTCAAACTTGTTGTTGTGTTGTTGTCGAGGTGTTTTCTTATACTTAGCAAATTTCTCTTCCTCCACAGATCAACTCCATAGCACATACCTTCATGAAGCAGTCTAAGGATAACCTCGTGAGGGCCCTTGAGGCCGAGGCAGTGGCAAAAGGATACAAGTCCCGAGTGGAGCGGGCTGCTGACCTCGTTGACAAACTGAAGGAGGAGATGATGTCTAGGAGGAGGCGTGTCGAGGAATTAAGGAGGCATGTCGAGGAACTGAGGAGGCATGTCGAGGAGCTAGAGCTTGACAAAACTAAGCTCAGGAAGGACCTCGAGGAGAAAGAAGCTTCCTTCGCTGATCCTGAGGCCCTCCTGATTGACACACTCAAGAAGACGAAGACTCATGCCATCAAGGAGTATAAAGTCTCACCATTCTTTCTTCAGGAGAGGCAGGACCTTGGTACCACGGTCTTCCGTAAAGGTTTCAATCTTTGCCGAATGCTCGTGAGGTCGGTATACCCCGAGCTCAACCTTAGATCCATCAATTCCTCTGCTTGTACTAGGGCTGCAAGTCGGGCTGGGTTAGGTCGGGTTGAGGCCAACCCTAACCCAACCCTATGTTCTAAACCCCCAACCCTAACCCTAACCCAACCCAACCTTCAACCCGACCTACTCAACCCTAACCCAAACCATAACTAATTCCTTCAACCCTAACCCAACCCGATTCGACCTGATGTCAACTTCGGGTAGGGTTGGGCTCGGGTTGGGCCCAACCCAACCTTCCCATCCCTTAAAATCTAGTAGAAAAATAAGTATTTATTTATCATGAGTTATGACCTATGATAGAATTTTTCTCAAAAATATAAATTCATGAAATTAACAATAATGAAACATGAAATTATGGAAATAAAATCACTAATAACAATTCATAGGATCAAGCAAATAATTTGAATCTATTTGATAGGTCACACAAAAATTACAAGACAAAAGGAAAAGACAAATAGTCAAGTACCTGTGAATAACTTAAATAAAGAAAGGCATGATAGTATGTAGGGGGCTATACAACTATCATGCATCTAGACTAGTAGTCTAGTACTATAGGGGGTCGGGTTGCCTGAGGGGTCAACCCTAACCCAACCCGAACTAAGGTCGGGTTCAAGAATTTCAACCCTAGCCTTAACTCGATCATCAACCCGGCCCAACCCGACCCAAGTTGTAACCCTAGCCTGTACCAAGGAGATGACTGACAGGGTCGACGAGGACCCAGACTCCGAGGAGGAGGGAGACGACGAGATTGATGAGGAAGCTGTGGAGGCTGACTTGGACGCTGCTAGCAAGGATTCCATGGAGGAGGATGCCACCAAGGATCATGCTACCACTACCACTAGAAACAGGGATGGGGAGCCCCAAGATATCTGAACACTTCACCTCTTTTCTTGGACCCCCTGTAAATATATGTATTGCACCGAGCCTCCGTGCTCGGTCTAGAGAACTCTTCTCTTTTTTTTCGGAATACTGATGTAAATTTATACACCCAATAGTGAATGAAAGTGCCCTTTTTTCACACCTCGTGTTCATCTGTTCAATACACCATTAAAACCCAAAAATTCAAAAATAATTCTAAGTATAGTTTTATTCAAAGTGCTTAGCTCTAAAGTGACTAGACATAGTAGGGGATAAACCGAAGTCTCTGTTTGCCAAGGCAACTAGGCATAACATGGGATTTAACCCAACTTGCCTATGTGCCAACTAGGCATAAGAAAAGATGTCCCCAAACTACCTATATGCCGAAGCGACTAGGCTTTATTAAATTGCCGAGGTTGTTACCAGGTCGGCATAGGGGGGCTTTAGGCTTAAAGCGACTTGGCGTCCCCTTTAGAATGTAACTTGGTCGACATGTGCGGCTTGACTAGGTCACCAAGGCAGATAGTCTTCCATACTTAGTGAAAATTTTGATTATCTGGTTGAGGTCACGGATGCTGGACTCCCGAGCTCATAGCTAGTACTTTTTAAGGTTGTCAACGTTCTAGGTGTGGGGTACTTGCCTCCCTTCCAATGTCTCGAGCTCATACGTCCCTTCTCTGAACACCTGCTATATTTTGTAAGGACCTTCCCAGTTTGGTCCGAGCTTACCTATGCCGAGTTCGGGCACCATAACTTTCCGGAGTACAAGGTCACCAACTTGGAAGTGGCATCGCTTAACTCGGACATTATAATACCGAGCTACTCGTTGTTGGTAAGCCGTAGTCCGGATATAGGCTAGGTTGTGCACTTCTTTGATCAGGCCAAGGTTAGTCCCGTAGCTCATCATCATTGGCCTCATCGTCATATGCTTTTAACTGCAAGGTCAATACTTCAATCTCGGCAGGGATGACAACCTCTGTACCATACATCAAGTTGAATGGGGTCTCTCCGATTGCAGTCTTGATTGTAGTCCGGTAGGTCCAAAGGACACTAGGCAGTTCATCTACCCACAAACCCTTAGCTCGAGAAAGCTAAGCTTTGAGTCCACGAAGGATTGCCCTATTCGTCACCTTGGCTTGTCCATTCGCCTATGGATGCGGTACTGAAGTAAAGTTTTGCTAGATCCCCATCTCGGCGCACTAGTTTTGGAATTTTATGTCTTTGAACTGCTTCCCGTTGTTGGATATTAGCACCTTTGGGAGTTCGAATCTGTACACTATGTTCTTCTAGAAGAATTTTTGTACATTTCGGGTTGTGATTGTCACCAGTGGCTCGACCTCCACCCACTTCGTGAAGTAATTAACCACCACAACCAAGAGCCTTCTTTGCCCGGCTTCTGGTGGGAACAAACTGAGGATGTCTATTCCCCACTTTGCGAAAGTCCATGGACTGGTTAGATACTTGAGGTCAACGGCGGGTTGGTGAGGTATGCTGGCGTGCCTCTAGTAGTTATCACACTTTCGAATGAACATGAGTGCATCCACCTTCATCGTAGGCCAATAATATCCTTGCCTTAACACCTTTTGGGTGAGTGTCCTACCCCCCAGGTGTCCACAAAGACCCTCATGGATCTCGCGTAGCACTTGGCTTGCTTCCGAAGGTTGCAGGCAACGCAGGTAGGGGAGCATACTAGCACTCTACCCTATAAGCCGTATTGCAATCTGTTGGTAGGGTCCCATAGAGTAGATAGTTGACGAGCGGATCCATCCAGCTCGGTTCTGCTGTCAACACATGAATGACCTCTTCTACTGCTCTCTCAATACTAGGTCGTGGCAGGCTTTCTACATAGACTGTCCTCTTTGTGACGTTGGTTGCACTGGCCAGCTTTGAAAGCGCATCAACCTCTGTGTTCTCCATCCTCGGTATTTGCTGGATGAACCAGGAGTGGAAGCCGGGTAGGAGCTCTCTCACCTTGGCCAAATAGGCCAACATGGTGGGCTCCCGTGCCTCGTACTGCCCATTCACCTGGTTCACGATCAACTGAGAATCGCTACAACCATGATGTGCTTCACGCCAACCTCCCTTGCTAAAGTCAGCTTGGCTATCAATGCCTTGTACTCCACTTCATCATTCGACACCTTGAATGCAATCTGGAGAGCGTACTCTAGCTTCACCTCGCCAAGCCTATAAAGTTTTAGCCCATCTTCGCTTCCTCGCTGGTTAGACAAGTCATCATCGTGGAGGGTCTAGGGTTCCTCATCCCTAGCTGGGGCTTCCCTGGCTAGGACAGGTGCCACACTGGTTGACGCCTCTGACATGTTAACAGGCTCAGCCACCCCAGGGGCCAGCGTGTTGAACATGCACTCAATGATGAAGTCTGCCAAGGCCCATGCTTTAATTGCTAGGCGTGGCTCGAACCGGATGTCATATTTACTCAGCTCGATTGCCCACTTCGCCAACCATCCTAAGACCTCGGGCTTCTGAAGGACATGCCTTAGAGGTTGATCAGTTAAGACTATGATGATATGGGCTTGGAAGTAGGGACATAACTTCCGAGCTGCCAAGACTTAGGCGAAGGCCATCTTCTCAATGTCGGGGTACCTGGTCTCAACTGCATGCAATACCTTACTTATATAGTAGACGGGCCTCTGCACCCGGTCTACTTCTCTTATTAGTATAGAGCTCACTACCTCGTCACTCGTGAAGAGGTAGAGTTTCAGCTTGTCACCTGGCTCAGGTTGGGTTAACACCGGGGGTGAACTTAGGTACCTTTTAAGTTCGTCAAATGTGAGCTGGCACTCCTCGGTCGACTCAAAGTCTTCATTCTTTTTAATGGCCTTAAAGAAGGGTAAACACCGCCCAGCTGACCTAATCATAAATCGGTTCAGGGCGGCAATTTGCCCTGTTAATTTTTGTACCTCTTTTGTTGACCTAGGTGGTCTCATATCAAAGATAGCTTGGATTTTATCTGGGTTGGATTTGATGCCACGTTGATGCACTATATAGCCAATGAATTTTCTCGACGCGACCCTGAAGACACACTTGTTTGGGTTGAACTTCATGTTAAATTTTCTTAAGATTTGAAAAGAACAGTTTAAATCATCAATAAGAGATTTTGCAAATTGGGTTTTCATGACCATGTCATCAACATAACATTCAACTTTATTGCCTATCGAAGGTGCAAATACTTTATTTACAAGTCGCTAGAAAGTTGCTCTATTGTTTTTCAGTCCAAAGGGCATAACTTTATAACAATATAGCCCTAGATCTGCTACAAAAGTAGTTTTCTCTTGGTTAGCTAAGTCCATCCGGATCTGGTTGTAGCCGGAGTAGGCATCCATGAAGCTCAGCAACTCGTGCCTCGAGGTCGGGTCAACTAGGTGGTCTATTATGGGGAGCGAGAAATTATCCTTTGGGCAGGCTCTGTTGAGGTTGGTGTAGTTGACGCACATGTGCTCCTTGCCATTGGCATTTTTGATGAGTACAAGGTTGGCTAACCAGCTTGGATATTGGACCTCTCTAATGAAGTCTACTGCAAGGAGCTTCCCGACCTCCTCATCTACTATCCTCCACCTCACTAGGGTGAGGTTCCTTTTTCTCTGCTTGACTGGCCTGACAGTTGCGACCGAAGTAGTTCTTTTAGGTGATCTTCGATCTGGACAGTCTTTGAGGGCTCGGTATCAGAGACCGAGACTAGGACTGTATTCTCCGTCAGTTGATCTTGCTCATCTGTATGCTCGGGGGGTGGCTCTAGCTTGATGTCACCTTCTAGCTTCCCTTTGCCATTCAGCATCACGCCGTAGAACTTCCGCGACTCCAACTGGTCACCCTGTACAACCCCTACTCCAAACCTCATAAAAAAATTTCATTGAGAGGTGATAGGTCGACACCATCGCACGAAATGCATGCAAGATAGGTCGGCCCAAGATTGCGTTGTAGGGGGATGGGGTGGCAATCACCAGGAATGTGTGCTCGAACCGGACCATGTTGGGCTCTGACCCTACTATAACTGGTACCTTGATCCACCCTAACGGCCTCACCACGTCTCCATTGAAGCCGACAAGTGGTACCTCTACCGGTTACAAATCTTTTTGCTCCAACTGCATTTTCTTGAAGGCCTCCAGGAATAAGATGTTTGTCGAGCTCCCTAAGTTGACCAAAATTTGCTTTATCTCGAAGTCATTGATAATCATCTTGATGACAAGGGCATCATCATGAGGATACTAGACCTCGCGAGCGTTATCCTCAGTGAAGTAGATGACTTCCTCCACCCGAGGGCACTTCGGTGGGTTCTCATCCTCTTGCTCCAGCTTTCAAATTGCATTCTTCCCCTCTGTTGTGCTACAACTGGCTACTATAGAACCTCCGATGATCATATTGATCACCCCACGAATTGGCCTCTCTGGTGGTGGTGGATGATCCCAAGGTGGCTGGTCTTGATCTCGTCGCTTGCTTGACTCTAGTGCTTCCTTGGGCTGATCGGCAGGTTGGGTGTCACTCTCATCATGCTTGATAAACAGCCTGAGGTAGCTGTGACGGATCAGCTCCTCGATTCCTAAAGGGATGAGAGATCCATCATATGGATAGTAGAACCTTGTAGGTGGGTTGGTGAAATTTCAAAAATTTCTCTCTCTCCCATCTGGGAATCACATTCCCTACTTTAGAAAATTGTGAAGGGATGAGAGATCCATCCTATGGACGCCCAAAGATTGCGGAATAAGGGGCGAATTTCAAAAATTTTATCTCTCCCTTCAATTGGGAATCGTATTCCCTATTTAGAAAATCATATTTTCAAGGATCAATCTTGAACCATAAACTGAACCAGATCTGAACCAAAAGGAGTGGGAGAGGAT